AATATATATATATATATATATATATATATATATATATATATATATATATATATATATATATATATATATATATATATATATACTTGTGTGTGTGTGTGTATAATTCAAATATGGAACATAGTTTGACAAAATAAATTTTCTTGCGCCAAATCTCGAATATGTTACAAAATAAAATTCCTAATTACTCATCCTATTTGTCAACTTTTCATCTCTAATGTTACAACACATTAGAATTTAACATTATTATTGTGGTTACTAGATTCGAAAATTAACAAGGGAAAAACTGTTAGTTGCACAAGTTGCTATAATTCTATGTATAGGTGATTTTATGAACAATGCGCCTTTAAGAGTTGAGAAGGGGATACGGGAGGGAGGACCTATTCAGGTTTCCTAAGTTACAATATTTAATGATTGCATATTATACCCACGACCAAAATATCCACCCACTTTCCTTTTTAATATTTGTTTGAATTTTATATTCCAAAATTAGTCATATCCACAACCTTTTATTTTAGCAAAAGAACCTAAAATATGATTGTTTTCTACTAATAACATCATTCTAATTTTATTCTACCAATGATCATATTGTTTATTATGATTGACATGATTCAATATAATATTGTCACGTTGAAAAATTATTATATATGTTTTTTTTTACTTTTATATACTTATTGAATAAATTTTATTTCAAGATTATGATAGATAATATTGTAATGATAAAAATCTGTTTCAAGAGTCTACTTAGAAAGATATGATGTACCACTGCCTAACTAAATGAAAAACAACAAAGACATATGGTGGAAGGTATCAAATGACTATGACAATTTTACTTGAAGGCATCGAATATATACGTTTTGGAAAATTTTCAAGCCATAGGGAAGATGTACAACAAGACGTATCCAAAAAAACTGTAGAACTTTTACAAGATTATTTTGGGTTAGAAGTTGATGATATAAATTTTGAAAAAAATGCAACTATATATGTATTATCTCAATAGAGCTGGCCAAAAGATTAAAAAAATTCATGAAGAAAATAAGGCTTTTACGGAGCAATTGCATGAACTCACAAAAAAATGATGAAGAATTGGTAGCTTCCAATGGAAATTCTTTTTTGAATGTACATATAGGTTTATCATGTTTAAACGGTGGAACTTGTTATTTATTTTCCTTTGTATTTTTGCTTGGACAACTTTGTTTTTAAAGTTGATACTAATGTAATAATATTATTACATCTAATCTTTTCCAAAAATATTATCCACCCTTTTTTTTTTCTTAATTTTTAATATAATTTCCTTGGATATATTTACAATTTAATAGAGAAACTTTGATTTTATTAAAAACGTCATGAGAAGTATCATTGATTTCTGGTAAAAAAATGGATCTCAGAAAAATGGATTTAACTCAGCAAAGGATTGATTTAGGAGTACATGGATTATTTAATTAGTTATTTTTTGTTTCTTTTTCTAGGTAACTTTCACCAATTAAGTCACATTTTTTAAGAATGGAAGGGCATGAAAAGGAAAGGATTCTATAAGTTATAATAATTATTTTTATGTTAGTTCACTCTATTTTTTTTGCTATACTTTACAGTTTGATTTAAACTAAATGACTCTCTTACTTTACATTCTATTTAATCTTAATATATGCTATGAAATATTGTGATTATTAACTTTTACCAACTTGTAGTTTGACCCAAAATCAGCTTAGCCCCCTAACATTTAAAATTATATTCATAACATCCATATTATTTTGGATGAAACTAGAAAATCTAATGGCATTACCAAAAAAATAAAATAAAATTTATTTTTTTCTAAACATTTGTTTTCCAGTGTGTATATATATATATATACATACAAACATGTGTCTAATTAAAAAATCCCTAAAGAGATAGGTCATATATTCTCAAACCTTTTATGAATAAACCTAAAAAAAATCAATAAGTATACATAAAAATTATGAAATATATGAAACCTTTATTTCATTTACAGATTGCGAGGTCCAAAAGTATTCAATTTTTTTTTTTTTTTACAATTAGTAGAAAAGGTCAATTGCTATCATTAAATCCATTTGAAATACATCATTTTGCTTTATGTGCCCTTGTTTGGCTGTTGGATCAAAATATTTGACCAAATAAACCTTTGATATTAGACAATTAGTTTATTACAATAATTTTTTGTTGAATTATTGGTTACCTGAGGATCTAGACTCTAGAGTTTCTTACATTTTCATTATGGGTGTTCACCTCTCCCTACGGGTAGGAATTATGGTATTTCATTTTCCTATTCGATACTTTGTAGAAGAATTTTTTCTTAAGCTATCCTACCCGGTGAAGTATTCTATTCTTGTGTGACAACTACTACTACTATTAAAGTTCTTATTCAACCAACATCTGACAATGACTTAGATAGCAGCTGCATACAAAATGTTGTGTATCAAGAATTACTCACACTTATAGAAAATAGCTAATTTTTCCTGCAATATCTCTCGTAAGATTTCTACAATCTACACATAACAAATTATATACAACTTATTTGTATAATAAAATGAATTTTTCAATCTTATCTTGAAATTTATTTTATAGAATGTCTGATAAAGTAATCTCCATGAAGAATATCACTAGCTCTCCTAAAGACTAGAAAGCAAAAGTTCTAGTTCTTTAGCAATGGTGTCCTCGAAATGCACAAGCGAGCCGCACCAAATATCAAAAGCTTCTCCTTGCTGATTCAAAGGTATATTAATATGATTTTTTCTTCAATTACACCATCAATTCTTGCTAAAAACTCAGATCTTCACGCACTATCATCTTCCTAGGGTAATCATGTGCAAGCAATGATATTTGGATCTCAAATTGAACTGTTTGAAAACACGATAGAAGTCTTCAAGTCATATTGCGTTTCAAATGCCATTGCTAAATTTATTGAGCAAAAACATCGCATTGTGCCTCATCCTTGGTAATGGACCATCAATGCAAGCACATTGATTCAACCTGCTGATGACAATAAAGCAAATACCAACTTTCCTTATGTTGACTTAATGTCATTCTGTGAATTTCATAGGCATGTTGATATACAATCACAAATTGGTAAAATTCATCACTTTAGTATTATTATTCCTTAACCTTCCGAAAAAAATATTATCCCTTTAATATCTATAACATACATTTCGTTCATTTCTAAATTTTAATTTGCTTCTTACTAGATATTTTGACAACTATCATTGAAGTAAAGCCCCCCAAAAAATTAAACATAAAAAATAGAGAATATGTGCTCAAGAAATCACCATCATTAATCAAGAGCAAGTTTTTAAATTTTTTGATATAAATTTTTTTTTAAATAGTTCTAATAAGTTTTACATGTCCTAATACGTTAACACCCATGAATCCAACACTGTGGAACCAATTTGTAACAAATGAAGGTGCAATATTCTCTGTAATTTTCGACTCCTTCCCAACTTTTATTGGCATACAATTAAAAGTGACATCTTACAATGATAAAATTTATATAAATATTATACTCATGTTCAACTATATAACATAAAATATTTTTCCAATATAGCACTTATTTTACAAGTTTATCTTTGTCAATAAGGCCAACAAATACATTCATTCTAAATCTCATTTCAGCAGCTACAATGCTCTATGAATCTGGTATCATTCTTCCCAAGAACTTGTTATCTTACATACTATTCATATCTAACATTCTTTTCAACAAATACAGGTACATTGAAAACAAAGAAAGCATTAGATCAATCCCCTAACAAAATTAAATTCAGTTTCACAAGAGTCAAGCCCCTATTCCTTCGACTGAAAAAATTGTGCAAATAAAAGATATCTCATTTTTACCAACAATGGTAGACACAAAATCATATTCATTCAACTATATATCTATGCCAAATTTCTTATAATAGAATTTATTGCCAAGAATTCAACAAAAAAGTCTTATGGGTCTAAACATCACTTTCTATTGTTTCCTTTGACCAACAATTCTAGTACATGACGTGCAATAATTGCTACAAGACAATAAATCCCAAGTATGAACCGTCTTCAACTGCTTCCACTGCAAAAACAAAAATGCACAAGCACAACCAGGATAAAAAAAAAAAAAAACCATCACTATATCTTATATTACAACTAACCAAAACGATGATAAAAAATCTATTTATAGGTTGAAGTTTGAGGTTGAGCTCAATGATGCATCAGGATCAATGAATGTCACAATATTTGAAGATAATGTAGAAAAAATTTTCTTAGTCAATGACACTAAACTGGTGGAATATATATTGAAAATGACACTCTTAAGTATTTTTAGTTGCAATTCATTTTATAACTTTTTAGACATTCTAATCGAATTATAAAAACTTTAAAGGATGACAAAGTATAACTAGAGCATTACCCAAATTTACAACTAAGGAAGAATACATCATCAAATCAAAGCGTGTCAATTTCAACAATGTGGATCAATGTTACTTCGTTTTAATGTCTAATCTGTCAACAACTGTGATATAAAAATCCCGTCTATAATTGATTTACAAAGCAAACCCCCTTTACTATGCTTGCTAATTAACTACTGATACAGAATATTTGTTACTATTATTAACTAAAGATGCTATATTTTGTCCTATTAAGCTTTTGGAATATATTTGATTATTAACTTGATGCAAAAATATGTGTTTATTTAGACATAAGTTGTTCTACTTGGCAAGTATATGACATTTTTGCTTGTTAGTATTCTTACATTGATTTTATGTTCTTTTTACATTTTGTGTGTGTGTGTGTACACTTTTATATATGAAGTAAGGTTATAAATTTCTAAAAGGATGGAAACATATTATCTTTTCAAGGTATACCAAGAAAAACAAGGAAAAAGTAAACATTATACAAATTCTACTGTTATTGAATGTCGTTTCATTTATTTAATTAATAATCAAGATTATTGAGAAATTGAAGAAGAAACTCAAGATTAATTTTAAAAATATAATATGACAAATATGGGCTTTAACTAGCGTGCCTTGCACTCGGGATTCTCACTAGTAATTATCTAACAGCTGAATGTTATCTAACAAACTATTACAACTAACAAATACTGGGCTAGAATATTCTAACAAACTCAATCTAACAACTATCTAGTGTGATGCTTCTCCATTACATTCCATGTGAGCTGAGCTATGCATACGATTGAGCTGAGCAGAGTCCATGTGAGTTGAGCTAAGGTCATATGGTTATCGCCATTGACATCCATCAAAATCTGCAGAAGAGAGAAACATTAGTTCATTTCCCTATTTGACCTTGTACAGAGAGAGAGAGAGAGAGAGAGAGAGAGAGAGAGAGAGAGAGAGAATGAAATGATGGTGACCATTGCAAAATGACCAAGCAACACCTATGTAACTGTACAGTGTACAACAAATCCAATGAACTAATAGCCCCAGATATAAGCAGTGAAAATAGGTACTTAAAATATGCTAACAATGCGGAAGGAATAGCTATGACCCTTTTACCTCCAGACATGCAAAAACATTCGACTCGAGGACAGCCATGGTGTGATATAGCTATTGAAGAAATTGACACTGCTGATCTGATCACTTTGTATGACTGAAAACTAAAAGCAATGAAAGACAGGAGTAATGGAAAGGCATCCCAAGGGAGAGAAAATGACTGTTCCCTCCTTTTGTTTAGTTGAGAAGGGGAAAAGGAGGAAGAAGAAAAGGGATGCTGTTTGTTTTTGCTATTGCCATTACATGCAAAAAAAGGGGGTGGTTATTTTATTTGGTGGATGCAAACATGAAAAAGAGACTCCTTTCCATCCTCCTATCCAACTCATTGTCAGGCAGAACAAAACTGGATGGAATGTGTTTTCCTCCCCTTTTCCTTTCCATCTCGATCTTCCTACCACATGGCGCGAAAGAGAAAACCTATCAATCCTTCCTTTCTTGCCTCATCCTCTTTCCTACCACCAAACCGACCATAAGCATTATCCTTTGAGCATAACTGCAGAACCAAAATTGCAAGTTATTTAAGCACCATGCTAACATTGGCTTCCCATTCCCCACCCCTCCAGAAACTGGGCATCCATTCTAGTCTTCTGGATCCAATGCCCTGGAACCTGCATAGATGATGTTTTTGCAATGCAAAAGGCACTTAGGGACTGTTGCTGCAGAATTTGAAAGTAAATTTCACTTTCAAGTTGATTTGATGTTCCAAAACACTTTCCAGGAAACCAAATGAAAAGAAAAACATTTTCTAAACAAAATATGCAAGTGACAGAAAAACATGTTTTCAAAATATTTCATGGTTTGGAGAACATGGCTCAGATATATCATGTCAAAGAGCTGGATCAAATAGGCTGTAAGTTTTTTGGACCCAAAATCGCTAATATTGCAAATTGTATGCTAGGAAAAAGCTAAATTGGTGCACCATGTGCACGATATAGTGCATAAGTTCTTTCTTCCTTCTCTAAGCTTAATTTCTTGGTTGCCCAAAGCCATAATCTCTGAAGTTGCATACGCAAATCACGAAAACTGCTACTTTGAGAAATATCTCGATACTCCATTCCTAGGGCGAAACCTTTAAAAAACGAGAACATATAAATCCCATTGAATCAATTAACCAAGAAATCAATGCTTATAGATGTTCTCTACGACGAATATTTAACGTCTGTATGTGCAAAGAAGTGAATTCTTTTTTACCATTATCCTTCATTTAAATATAGTAAAAAAAATCAAAATGAGAAAAAAAGAGAACCCTATCTGGTAATGCAGAATGTAGATAATAAATACAAAAATGTGATACAAAGATAAGCATATTGCATCAACAGAATTCCTTACCAGGGAATGCCTGATAACATGTCCCAAGAGTCCCCTGCTACTGGATCTCAAATGCACCTGCAGAATGCATAACTTACAAGTATTTGTTAACGAGAAAACTCTGGCAGAGCAGGTGTAGCTCATAAAATACAAAGTTCAGACAACATAGAAAAGGGATCAATAAGAATTGTTATGTAATAATATTGCAACAACTAAAGTTATCTGAGAAAACGTAATAAGGTAGAAAAGGAGAAAGAAAATTTATAATCAACTGAATATATTGATTATTAATTGTTCAATAAAAAGAATCCCACGAACTAAAATATGACTAGGACTCCCAAGCGCAGCCAGCAGTGCAGAAGTAACTGAAGCCCTATGGGTCCAGATTCTTAGAATTATCATCTTTAGGCTGGCCAGATTGACACACAAGATCATTTGTATGAGATTCCTCACCCGGCCACTTTCCGATGCCTGAACTTCCTGCCCCCTGCTGGGAACCTAGATCCCAGATATCTGACAAACCGCTGCTAACTTCCAACTCTGGCATGTTATAGATGCTGGGGATATCCCATAACTCAAAGCTAGAACTAGACATACCAGGACCAGTTTCAAACCCCAGAGGAGCAGTTTCAAACCCCACGCTCCACACATCTTCTTCTTTAACAAAACCTTCAATTCCTGCTGATGAGAATTGGGGAAAGTTCTCCTTCACCAAATCCTCAGGAGAAGAGACGAAGTACTCAGTAGTAACCCCTGGTTGGTTGCTCACCACATTCTTCCCTTTACTAAGAGAATCCTCAGCTCCCAAGCTCGAGACCCCCAGCCCCACCTGCTCTGGGGTCTCGAGAAGTTCATGAGATATTGCATATTCATCCAATGCAATATTCCCAATTCCGAAAGGCATGTTTTCTACACCTACAACAACATTCTGTCCCATATCTTGTAAGGGATAATCAAGGAAATCTTCGCCTGCAACTGGATTTAAACCTGAGTTTATAGACGATGTAGCAAGATTCCCCAAATGAGGCCTGTATTTTACTTTCTGCCCTTCACTGGTCGAATCTGTTTTACCAAGTTCATGTGGCTGATGTTTAATGAACTTTCTCATTGTTCTTGGAGAAGCAATACTTCTTTGCTCCATCTTTTGCTGAAGACGAGCTAAGAATGCTGGGTTATGAAACAGGTTTGCCAAGAATGAAACCATCTGCTTCTGTCTCTGCTCTGCTGCTTGGAGCTTTTCGTTCACATTTTCCATATGCTGAACTGTCCCATGTTGCTGCTTCTGCAATTCAATAACCTCCTGTATTATGAAACTCCTCTCTTTTCTTAATCTCTCTATCTCACCTTCCAATAGAGCTCTCCCCGCTTCAGAAGAAGAGCCGGAAGAGCTCCCACTTTGATGAGATTGAGGTAACTTTCGCCTCTGGATGTTCTTCAAAAGATGCTTCTTTCCTCTTGAAAATCCTTCCTTTGCGAACTCCCACCTATCAGCTTCAATCTTGCGAAAACCCTGTATACAATTACCCAAATAAAGATTAATGGGAATGATAAAAAAAACAATGTTAATGGACATAATGTAAACAAATCCTTTCACACTCAAAATTAGAAGTCGTCAAATGTCATAGCAGAGCTGCATTAAACCATACATAGATGATGTGTTACTCAACAGAATTGAAAAATGTTCTGTCAGAACCTTAAATACTACCTGCAAAAGAGGACCTCCCAACTCCAGCAGATATTCATTGGAGAAGGATGTTCTCGTTTTGGAGAATAATAAGAACGAAAAAGAAGCCTCTCATCCCTAACTACGAGCCAATAGGATGAACAAAATACTTTTAACTGTATTCTTATTATCAGCCAAATGTAATTCTCAAACGAAGAACTTCAAAATCAAGACAACAGAACAATATCACATCAATTCCTGATATTGAATATATACCTAAAAAAACCCCTTCAGGGAACATTACTCTGAAAAAGACATACAAAGTAATTATGCGTTCAAACCCATTTCTATTTGCTGTCCTTTGACAACAATTAGAGCAAGAAATATTGCAAACTTTTCAGCAACAGATTGAATACTTCCTCAAACTCACCAATTCAATCTCCAGTAGATTATACACAGAGAACAAAGGATACATAATTACAGATTAAACCCCTTTCGGAGTCTACAAAGTTAATATACATTCAACTTCTATCCACAAAACGGCTTCAGCAGCATCTACAGGAATATTTACCCCCAAAAAAAGCAGAAAATAATTAAAAAAAAACATGGAGGATGGAAAAGAATACATACAATAAAAAAACATTAAAAAAATATGAAAAAACATACAGACCAACAGCAGCCTTTTGGGCTCTGTTGAAGCAATACCCACGTATGTATTAAGTTGCCGAACAAAGCTTGAGAAATTGTTGTGCTTGAAATTCCGTGGTAGTATAATCCTCGCGAACTCCACCGGGTCCCAAACCACAAAGCTCGCGCCTGTAGATCCCCAAGAAATAATTGAGTCTACTGAAGGGTCATCAACAAGATCAAAAGTCTTCAACAAAAAGGGCGGAATTGGAGTTCCTTGTAAACATTCAAGAGGCTGAGGAACACCCAAATTCTCCGACTCGCCACCACCACCGACCGTCGCTACCACTGTTGCCATGGTCGCTGGGAATCGATCTCCAACGTCGACTGGGACATTGGGAACAATATCTCCGACTGATAATCCCCTCAATTTAGTCATATGTGAATCTGAAGGCGGTATTACGCCAGAGAAAGTTTCAGAATGAATAAAAGGAGAGGCAAAATGCGAAGAAGATGATGAAAAGCTCATAGACAATGGGAAAGCTACAGAACGCGAAGGTGAAAACAGAGGCGTTGTATTGGATTGAATTGTTGCAGACCCAATTTCCAAATGAGCCAAAGAAGATGTAACCAAAGAATCTGGACCTGAGATTTTGGTTTCTGACTTAGACCCAGGTGGCTCAGACGACGAAGAAAATAAAGATTCGTCATGAGAATCCATCGATTCCGTCCAAAAAAAATTGACTGGTTCTCTGAAGAACGATTTTTAGAGTTGAGTAGCAAAAGGCTTTCTCAGGTGGTGGCTGATGAAACATGTGAAGCGAATGAGAGATGATCAGTGAGTCCAGGTTGGGTTTATGTAGGCAATGCCGACAAGATGTTCGAGAAACATCCCAACAGAATCGCAGAGGCGGTGAAAGCTCTGGTCTTCTCCCCATTTTCTGTTCACAGACGCGGCAAGTAATCTGTGAGAGAGCAACCGACCTTGCGGATATTTCCTATCAGTTACGGTCGTTGGTATAAGGAGAGTTGTGGAGAAGACGGTGGGCAGATGGGATCCACTGGAGACTCAGATATTTTTGGGGGCTGCCTGCGAATAGTGAATTCTATTGAGTAGTTTGGACTCTTTTTTTGAGGAAAGACATTGCCAGCTAGAATTGCGTCAGTTGAGCCAATGAGGTTGGGAGATCTGGTTCTGACAAGTCTTACATTAGATTTGGAAGGGCCCACCAGACTTCTATATTAAGTAAGTAGCACAGTGCCGTCATGTGCAAGGATCAGGGACGGAGTCAGAATTATATCCGATAAGGGCAAGAATATGAATGAAAAAATAATTAATTGAGATAACAAATATTTGGATATTAATTAATAAGGAGTAAATTGGGTATTATATTTATACAAGTAGACCACATTAACATTGTATTAAATTTCAAGAATCGACTATTATTGTTCAGTTTCATGATATAAAACTTTCAATAATTTTCTTTTAATGTGGTTGAGATATTGATCTTTCGGGTTAGTACATTTTATTAGTTGCGTTAATTTGTGTGATACTAATTTATGAGCCAACAATCTATAAAAAAAAAATTTGATAGACAACTATGCAACTGTTTTTAAAGAATAAGAGGAAAGATATTGAATAAATAAGATTTTATTTTCGGTTAATATATGAGTTATGGTGTTTTACATTTGATTTATTATTTCGTCTAAAAATAAAATATTTATTTTAGTAAATTAGAAGTCAATGTACCACTAACTTACCGAAAGGAAAATAGATTAAAGTTATTATGATAATTTTTAAAAATTTAAGAGGGGGCATTGTAATAAATTAAATATAATTTATTTTTCTAATTCAGTAAATATGTAGTATTTCTTCAAAATTGTGCGGGACAACTGCCCCCCACAATATACAATAACCCGAGTAGCTCCGCCCCCGGCGAGGATGCGTCGGCTTAAATATCATACGGCCCCGCACGTGCGCTTCTTAAATACTACTTCAACTTTTTTTAATGTGGGGGTTAAATTACACTTTATAACCTACAAATTCACACATTTTGCAATTTAATCCAAGAATGTCTACTTTTATACATTTTATCACCCATTTTTGAACATGATACTAGCTCGTCAGCTTTTTCGGCTATTTTTTTGGTCGAGCAACAAATTTGCTCTTAAAAGAGTGTTGTCTAACTTCAATTTTATCTAATCATTCTCAATTGAAAATATAAATTATAATAAATCACAATATGACTCCAGAATAAATGGCGTAATGGGAAGGAAAAATCCATTATCCAATGGTCTGCCTAGTAAATAGTCACATTTCCCATGTTTTCAATTCTAGATAAATAACATTTGGCATGCTACACACCGAAATCCCTAGGCAAAAATTTCAATAGAAATATGATATGCTTGGTGTGCATAAAAATACAAATACATTTGTAGCATATATACCAACATGATAATGACTTCCCCCTTTTATATTGGAGCCACATAAAAATAAAAACGCCATGACCATCGTGCACTGAATTGAGCTTACTATGATTGAATTTTTTTTTTGTTTTTTTTGGGTTTAACAGTTTATTGAAGTTCTAATAAAAGTAAGCACAACTGTAACTTGGCTAGTTAGGAATCCATAATTTAGCATTTCCCTTACCAATATTGATTGTATAAGCAATGATAACCGGAGGAAAAGTAAACTAACCTAAAAATATATGTAAAACCATTCAATTTTGGTAAGAACATTGTTGACCCAACAAGAAGATCAACATAAGGAGAGTAAAGGGTAAAAATGCACAAGTCACTCAAGGGCCAAAGGGAATAATTCCGAACCCTGTTTCTGTGCTTTTTTAAATCTTGCTCGTTGGATTTGCCTTTCATCTTACCTTCTCTATGCTTCCTCTTCCCTCCCTTGGCTTTTTTAGGTATTGCCTTATTTCCAACCTAGACACAACAACATTGTCAAAAGCTGTATCATTAACAGCAAGACAACGTATGTCAAGTGTGTTGGGGTGAGTGTGTGTGTATATGAGAGAGATATATGTCTTTCTCACTCATTTTGTGAGCCTACATTATGCACAGGTGAAATATACACGTCACATACCAAATGTTGTTGTCATCACTAGACTAGTTATTCTGCATGCGGCGATGCAAGCACTATAAAAAGAGCAATGTTATTGGAACCTAATTTACTAACATAATTTATTGACCTAATTCACTGTACCCTTTGGATTCACTGTAGACCTCATCAAACATTGGAACGTGGTGTTGATCCAATGATTCCTATGAAGCCACATTATTATGACAACTAATTAGGTTAGATTTTTAGATCCAAATAGTATTACTCCTACAAAAAATAACCACGTTTCACTTATCTTTTGACTTGGAACATTAATCTTCTCAATTGTGCCCTGTATTGCATCTTTGCCAATTTAGGAGTTGTTTTCGAGAAGACAATGTCATCGAACTACCAAATCACGGAACCAATTCCATTCTAGGGACAATGGTGCCATACTTTTTAAGCTGCGGTGCACAATGACTAAACCACACTTTATTTGAAGAGACAGCTGCGCACACATAAACACTGTCTAACCGCTTGACACAATCTTGAAAAATTATGGTAGAAGGGATTGGCACACATTTTGCAGGTTAATCATAGCCATTTTGTATGTTAAAATGGTTTGTTGCGTAACTATTTTTCATGGTTCATCAAAATATCAGTTCGACGCATAAAATAGATATATACTCTCTAAAAAAGCGATTGGAGGTTCTAGTTGAAGCCAGAGGTTTCTGCACTGATCCCATCCCCCTCATACCCTCCACTGACATCCCCACCGTAATGGAAAAGGACCCCATGAAGACTCAGAAAAGGATAGAAAAAGAGGATGACCACCTCGAGAGAAGTACCAAGAAAATCAACGAAACACATAAACGTTTGGATGAAGATGAAATGCAAGTGAAACCATGTGCTCAGCAGAGAAGAACATCCTCTGAAGATCAAATATTAGATCCAATCCCTGTAAAAGGACCATTCCACCGAAATTACAAAGTAGCCCTTTTGGAGGACATCAACACAATCTACTTTGATGAAGAAAGCTATGAAGATTCTGCAGACGAGGAAGAACCAGTAGAGAGGGAAGTTTTAGGGGAAAACCCTAACTATACCATGCAGACCACTTGGCTTCCACAAGATACTTGTGAGAAAATTGATAGACTTAATAGAAACTTCTTGTGGGGGGATATAGAAGATAAGAGAAGGGTTCATCTCATTAACTGAGACATTGTATGTAAACCAAAGGATAAAGGAGGACTTGGCCTACGTAAGACGAGAGAAAGCAACCTTGCTACTCTTGCAAAGTTGGGATGGAAAGTCAAAGAGAATAAAGACAACCTGTGGGTGAGAGTAATAAAAGAAAAATATATTAAAAGCACCTCACAAGATTGGGAACCAAAAACTGGTGGATCCCCAATTTGGAGAGCTATTTTCAAAACAAATCAAATTGTCAAAGAAGGAACTAAATGACTCATAGGTAATGGTCAAAATATTTCTTTTTGGACTGATTGGTGGTGTGGAGAAACTTTTATTGCTAATAGAATGCAGGTTCCAACCTCTGCTGATCCCAACACCCCAGTGGCTACCTTCATCGACCTTGCAGGTAATTGGAACTTGAGCAATGCAAGAATACTCCTCCCCCTAGTGTATATCCAGCTCACTAGCGTACCACATGATAGTGATATGCCTGACACTCTATGTTGAGGCCTCTTAAATAATGGTAAATTCTTTATTGGCTCTGCTTATAAATGGATTACAAGGTCTATTGAGGTTTCCAACCTTTTGAATTTGAACTGGGACTAGTTATGGCACATGAAGATCCCACAAAAACTTAAATTCTTCCTCTGGCTTTTTTCAAAGTGACAAAATCCTATCAAACCACCTAAGAGCAGCCAAAAACATGACCAATGATGCAACAAGTGAGAGATGCAAAGCCCATTGTGAAACTACTTTGCATATCCTAAGAGACTGCTCCAAAGCTCAAGCAGTTTGGAGAATCTTCTTAGGTTACCACTGGACACCATTTTCAACTTATAATGACCTCCAAAGTTGGCTCTATGAAAACTATAAAAAGAAAAGAAAAGAGAAATGGAAAATAGTTGACTGGTCTGTGGTTTTCACTGCGATTATCTGGTAGATTTGGAAAGATAGAAACAAGGAGTGCCTTGAAAGAACTATAACTCCGCCTGATGTTACATCCAGAAATGTCTGGCTGCTGGCTCAGGAAATTAATCTTGCTTTCCTTGATAATTTTGGTTTGTCAAGATCCATATTCTAGGTATCTCATTGGTTGGTCATTCCCTCCTGTAGGATGGATGAAACTTAATGTGGATGGATGTTCCAAAGGGAATCCAGGACCTTCAGCTTTCAGAGGACTTGTGAGAAATGACCAAGGAATTTGGCAACTTGGCTTCTTTGGTAGACTGCCAAACTACTCTAGCCTTCAAGCAAAATTATGGGCAATCTACAAGGGCCTACATTTATCTCACGCCAAGGATTTGAAGAAGGTTATTGTGGAAACTGACTCTATGGATGCCCATAGACTCCTCACATCTACACTGGAAGAAACACATCCTGAGAGAGGGCTAATTGCTGAATGCAAGAAGCTCCTTACCCTCCTCATCTTTCCCATCCAACATTCTAAGAGGGAAGGAAATTTTTGTGTGGACAATCTAGCAAACCTAGATGTTAAGCAGAACGATGTTATGGTTCTCCTCAACTCCCCACATTGCTCAATGGGGGGGGGATTTAGAGATATGATTGTGCTAGTATCTCCTATGCGAGAAGTTTTTGTTAATATTTTTCTAGACTTTTTCAATGTACCAAAAAAAAAAAATTTCTAACCCAGCAAGAGTTAGGTTTGTCACAGCCTGCATCAGTGAGATTCACACTTCATATAGTACTTATTGAATTTAAAGAACAAGAAGAGGAACGTGAAAAGGACAAGATAAATAGGAAATAGGGAAAAGGATATAGAAGTAGCACCTTTCTCAAAACAGATAGAGCAGAACCTCCTTCAAATAATTTAGCTAAAAGCAAAGAAAGGTTTCGATCCAATATAAGGAGCTAATCT